AAAAAAAAAAAAAGTATTCTCTCTTCCCACACAGCTAATTAGTCACCAACACATAGATTTCTCCTTTTCAGCTATGCAGTATACTGTGGAGGATGGGGATAAACATCTTATTTAAAGGGACTTTAAGGAAAAAGGGACAGTCCTACAGATAGGCAGGGAATGAGTCAAGGACACGTTCTTCCTCTCCTCAGTTATGCCTACTGCCATGACATTTGCTATGCATGTCATCAAATGCTGCATCCCTACAATGTTTGCTTTTGTTCTTCTTATTTATCTTGTTTTTTTTTTAATAATAATTATTATTTTTTAAAGATTTATTTATTTGTGCAGACAAAACTGGGGTATAGGCCAGAGGTGCAGGGGTGGTGAGAGGATTCACCAGAGACAAAGTAGGGAGCAGAACAGGCAGATCATTGAAGTACACTGCTGAGGGGAGCAGTGGGTGGGTCAGGAGAGGACTGTTGTGTCACGTGGATCACCTCCGGGACTGGGGATTGAACTCATGATGATGTAGCTTTAGCTTCTTAGTGCTTGCCTGAGCCCGCTGCACCACCAGGGAGGGCCCTAACTAGTACTGATCTTTTTTTTTTAATCTTTTATTTTTTTGCTTTCAGTTATTGAGAGTTAACATACAGCAGATCCACATGGAAGCCAATGTTGAGGAGTCCTATTTTCATAAGCCAGTTCTTAGGTCAGACACATTTTACAAAATGACCAATTCTCAAACTGCAATATGTTCCATTTCCTACTAAAATGAGACAGGAACGTGTAATAACACATCATTTAGTATGCCATGTCAGTATTATATGATCCTAAAAATGAGTCTACAAATTCATATGTCTTCTCCCCCTTGCTCCATCCCACCCCCGTCTAGGGGTAAAAATTACAAAAGGAAATTAATGCAAATAAACACTAAGTGTTCTCTCTCCAGCAATACAGGAAACCTCACTCGTGATCAAAGAACACTCTTATCAACAAAGGAACACTCTAGTTCAGCTTGCCAAACATTTATTCATATAGTCAATAAATATCTGAGTATATACTGAAAGTGCTGGGGACAAAACAGAGCACAGATGAGGTTTCTGCCCTTACAGAACTTACAAAAGTAGCTACATAAAAATCTAACTAAGGCCCTCCCTGGTGGCGCAGCGGGTTAAAGCACTGCACTGAGAAGCTAAAGCCACTTCCGCATGAGTTCGATTCCCGCCTGCCCTGGAGGAGACCACATGGCGTGGCAGACCTCTCCTGACCCGCCCGCTGCTCCCCTCAGCAGTGTACTTCGTCAATCTGCCTGTTCTGCTCCCCACTCTGTCTCTGGTGAAGCCTCTCGCTGCCTCTGTGCCTCTTGCCTGTACCCCAGTTCTGTATGTACAAATAAATAAATCTTAAAAAAAAAAAAAAATCTGGGCCCTCCCTGGTGGCGCAGCAGGTTAAGGCACAGCACTGAGAAGCTAAAGCCACTTCCACATGAGTTCGATCCCCGCCTGCCCTGGAGGTGACCACATGGCGTGGCAGACTTTGCCTGACCCGCCCGCTGCTCCTCACAGCAAAAGAACTTCGTCAATCCGCCTGTTCTGCTCCCCACTCTGTCTCTGGTGAAGCCTCTCACTGCCTCTGTACCTCTGGCCTGTACCCCAGTTCTGTATGCATAATAAATCTTTAAAAAAAAAAATCTAACTAAAAGTTTACCTGTTTCCAGAGAAGATAACTTGTTCTCCATTGTTTTTATGGTCGAATTTAATTCAGCTTCCATTTCTTTTTCAAATTCATCTTCACTAGATGACTCACTTTCTCCAGTGAGACATTCTCTGATTAGTTTTCTTTTTTGGTCAGGAGTTCCATGTAAAAGCACATCCACTTCATCTTCAGAGCTATTATATTTAAAAACCATAAAAGTATGAATATTAAAGAATTAAAATTTTAAAATTCCCATCACCTCACTAGCGATGAGTTTTTTTAAAGATATTTATTTATACATACAACGACTGGGGTGTAGGCCAGAAATGAAGGGGGTAAGAGGATTCACCAGAGACAGAGTGGGGAACAGAGCATTTATTTCAAACTTTTGCTACTACATATTACAATAGGCATCACTTCATGTGTTTCAGGTTGATTTCCTAAGATAAATGACTGGAATTAGATATAAGCATCCTTTACTTCTGAATTTTCACACTGCTTTCCAAAAAGTATTGTACCAATTCTTAATTCTATCAGAAATGAAAATTTACTTAACAGAACTGGAAGTTTTTCAACACTCTGGACACTAAATAAAACTACAACACCGGTGTATTACTAGTATATCCACATAGATATTAATAGACAGTTAAATATTACAATTTAAAAGCCATGAACTATAGAAACCTATTAGAGAAAGCTAAATTAATTCCAAATTAACCTGGGCAATTCCTGCCAATTTATTTGGCATCCTTTCCTGAGTTTCCCATTCAATAGGATGACAAAATGAAAACAGACATCGGAAGGAATGAAACATCAAAGTGAATGAGGCATTTCTAATATAGTCAATAATACTTAAAGAATGCTGAATTATTCATGGACTGAAGATGTTAAACTATTTCTTGGTTTTGCTCCTATAGCTTTATCATTTGTCTTGTCCAACAATGCTTTTGGGCTTCCAGCTAAAGGTAATCTAGAAAAATGTTATTCATATTGATCAGTTTATACTTATGATGCTAGAGATCCTAGCAAAATTCTACTCCCAAGAAATTTCCCCATCTGACCCTCTCATCCTGAAAAATATGCTACCTTCCTCTATTGCCGTTAGTTTCGCTCAAGTCTTAACTTTGCTGTACCAACATAGTCTAAGATCTCCAGGACTCCAAACTCCTCTGTTTCATTTCACTTTAATCCTACTGCCAGAATATTATTCCCAAAGAACTCTAATCATACAGCACTCAAGTCAAACTTTCATAATCTGGTTCCAACTTATCTTTATGACCTCACCTCTATTACTCTTTAACTTTCCCAGTGGTCTTCAACTGGCAGTAATTTGGTCACCTCAAAACATATGGCATGACTGGAACATTTCTCATTGCCTTACGCGAGGGGCAGAGGGACTGATGACACCTATGAGTGGAGCCAGGTACGCTACCACATCCTACAATGTACAAGACAGCCTTTCACAGCAAAGAATTATGACACAAAATATCACTGTTATCAAAGATGAAGAGTGACCTAGCCTGTATTCTAGTTAAACAAAACATTGGGTTAACAAAGTAATAGGGACAAAGGATCTCTGTATTACTTCTTACAACGCCACCTGAATACTTCAAAATAAAAGCTTTAATAAAAAAAAAAACTATCACACAGCAAGAATTACTCTTTTGGAAAATTTTATTCAATTTTTGTGATTACTTCATAACTTGAGATAAAGACCAATAAAAGGAATAGCAGCCCACTAAGTAACACTGAGGCCAGTGCCTGTAGTATTACAAAATGGCAAAAAGAGGGCCCTCCCTGGTGGAGCAACAGGTTAAAGCACAGCACTATGAAGGTATGGAAGCCACTGCAACACAAGTTAGATCCCCTGCCCGGGGCATGATGCAAATGGCCTGGCAAATCTCTCCTGAACTGCCCACTGCTCCCCTCAGCAGTGTATTGCAGTCAGTCTGCCTGTTCTGCTCCCCACTCTGTCTCTGGTGAAGCCTCTTACCCCCCCACAACTCTGGCCTGTGCCCTGCCCCAGTTCTGTGTGTGTGTGTGTGTGTGTGTGTATTATGGCAAAACAGCTTGTCAGTTTCTTTTCTTTTTTTAAAGACTTATTTATTTATGCATGCATGGAGAACTAGGATACAGGCCAAAGTTGCTGGGGATGAGAGGTTTCACCACGACAGAGTGGGGAGCAGAACAGGCAGATCAACAAAGTACACTGCTGAGGGGAGCAGCACGCCATGTGGGTCACCTCCTGGTCCACTGATCACAGATCAAACTCACACTGAAGCAGCTGCCGCTAGGTTGCAGTGCTGCATCCTAACCCTCTGTGCCACCAGAAAGGGGCCAGCGTATCAGTTTCTTATAAAACTAAACATGCATTACCTACAACTCAACAATTGTACTGCTGGGCATTTATCCCAGAGAAGCAAAATGTATGTTCACACAGAAACCTAAACATGAATGTTTATAGAACAGTCAAAACTGGAAGCACATGTTCAATGAACAGTTAAACAAATGCAGAATGCCTTTCAGCCATTAAAAAAAAAAAAAGTGAATTATTGATATCTGCAAACGTGCAGGTAAGTCTCCAGAGAACTAATCTGAGGGGCACTGGGGGTAAGGTGTCCCAAGAGATTACATATTGGGTGATTCCATTTATATAGCATTTCAGAAAAGACAGCCCCTGTATCAGCCCTACCTCGCCTATATTTACCAGGGAATAAGTGAACAATATAAGGTATCCTTTTGTTGATGGAAATACTCATGCCATCCCAGTTGTGAGATTGTACTATAATTCTGAATAACTTCAGTTGAGTACCTCCAAATAAAAAATTTAATTAAAAGAAATTGGAGGGGCCGTCCCAAGTGGCACAAGGGGTTAAAGCACTACGAAGCTATCTGCAGCACTAATTGGATACCAGCCCAGGGAGGTTTCCCACATGGCACAGCAGATCTCTCCTGTCTCTCCCCCCCTCCTCCCTTTAGCAGTGTATTTCAGTGAATCTGCCTGTTCTGCTCCCCACTCTGCCTCTGGTGAATCCTCTCATCCCCTGCAGCTCTGGCCTATACCCCAGTTCTTGTAAGCATAAATAAGTAAATCTTTAAAAATAAGTAAACTGAAATAAATAAATACACTGTAAACCTGTGAGAAAACAAAGACCTTATGATAGTCTCTGCAGTACAGAGCCAGCCAACAGGTGCTCCCCAAAAGTCTGTTGAGTGATTCCGTATTTCTAATCATGGTACTTTAGTCTTCAAAATAGGTAACTCACTCTGATCAAATCCCCTGAGCTTCACAACACACTCATGATACATACTGTATTTCCTTTGTATAGGTGGGAAACCGTAGGTGACTTGCCTTGGGTAACCAGGCCAGTATAAATCGCAGAGGTCGAATTAGATCTCACGGGTCCTGAAGATTTACGTGTGATTCCAGAATACCCCATTTCCCCTCGTCTGTGTGAGCCCCGCCTCCCCAGTGGTTGCGGGACCTCAACCAGAAACCCTGTCGGCCTCCCACAGACGACTGCAGGGCAGGACAGGCGCCCCTCAGGCCGGGAGGCGGCAAAGGCCTGGTCTCCACCAGAAGCTCCTAGGGCCTGCGCGGGGGCAGGGGCAAACCTGCTCAAAGCTGGTTCCTCGTCGCTGGGCTCCTCAACCGCGTAGGGGTCGTAATCATCGCGGAGCCGGTCCATGGCGGCCGGCACTCCAGAACGCCGTCCGCGGTCGCCGCAGCCTGTTTACGCCGCCAGGTCCCTCCCCTAAAGCGCCCCTACCCCACTTCCGCCTGCACTTCCGAGCCCCGGTGCGCCTGCGCAGATCGCCGCGGCGAGGGGCCGGGGGAAAGGCGGGTTCCGTTGTGCCTTTAGTGCTCTCTGCTACACCTCTACTCCAAAACAGACACTTTATTACGAAAATAGTCCCCGGCGCCTTCGTAACCGCAGTCTCCAAGGCGAACATTCACGTACAAGGTCTCAACTCACCTAGGTGAGCTGAAGAAGCCAAAATCCAAATACTGACGAACAGACTACCTAAAATCCTGGCTTGGTCCCCAGCACCTGTTATCCCTCTCAAGCTCCTCTCCTCAATACCTTCTCCCTTTCACTGCGAAGGTGCCTCGCCTTCACACTTTTCACTCCCCAAGCTCATTTTGTCCTTGACTGTCTGCAGAAGACAAGTTGCTAGGTTGTCACCAATTACTTCCTAATTGTCTTTTCTTGGCCTCTTCTCCGTTCCAACTTTTGCTTGCTCCTTAATCTAATTGCTCTTGAGACGAGGTAAATAAAACTTCTTGGTTATAAGAATAGCTCTTCCCCTGTTTCTGTATATATTGTATCTATATATTTTAATTTTAACTAAAGGTTTATTTTTATTTATTTATGTGTATGAATGTTCTAGGCTTCTCTCGGACAGCTCTCCTTACTTCTCGATCCCCTTTAGATAATTTGAGTCCCAGCCCTCTGCTGTACTTTATCAGTTTTCCAATTGTCTGCTAGATATCTCCCCTTGTAGATCCACTAGCAATTGAAATGTAATGTACCCCCCAAAACTGACTCCATTTCCATACCTCAATCACTAGCTCATGGTTTCTGCTTGGTTTCTGCTCATGTCAATTCATCCTTGCCAGAGACTGAAAGTCTTGGAATCTTGGTTGATCTTTTTTATTTTTTTAAGACTTATTTATTGACATAAGAGCTGGGGTACAGGCCAGATGTGCGGTAGGATGAGAGGACTCACCAGAGACAGAGTGGGGAGCAGAATAGGCAGATGTACTAAAATACACTGCTGAGGACAGCAGTGGGTGGATCGGGAGAGGTCTGCAGGGTCATGTGGGTCAGCTCCCTGGCTGGGGATCCAACTCATGCTGCTGTGGCTGCAGAGAACTTCATAGAGCTGATAAATCTGTTGCGCCACCGGGGAGGGCCTGGCCCCTTTATTTTTTTTTTAAAGATTTATTTATTTGTGCATACAGAGCTGGGGTACAGGCCAGAGGCCCAGGGGCAGTGAGAGGCTTCACCAGAGACAGAGTGGGGAGCAGAACAGGCAGATCTACGAAGTACACTGCTGAGGGGAGCAGCAGGTGGGTCAGGAGAGGTCTGCCACACCATGTGGTCACCTCCGGGGCAGTCGGGAATCGAACTCATGCGGAAGTGGCTTTAGCTTCTCAGTGCTGTGCTTTAACCCGCTGCGCCACCAGGGAGGGCCAGGCCCCTTTATTTTTTAACAACAACAAAAAAATTGTATTTATGTCTATAAGAACTGGGCTATAGGCCAGAGGTCCTGGGGGTGTGGGTGAGGATTCACCAGAGACAAAGTGGGAAGCAGATGATAGGCAGATAGACTGAAATACACTGCTGAAGGGAGCGGTGGACAGGTCAGGAGAGGTCTGCTGCGCCATGTGGGTCAGCTCCCTGCCAAGGGATGGAACTTATGCTGCAGTAGCTGTCCATAGATAGCTTGACAGTGCTGCGATTTAACCTCTGCGCCACCAGAGAGGCCCTTGGTTGACTCCTTTAGAGAAAGAAGTCCATAAACCCTCAATTGCTAAGTCCTGTAGATGTAAATCTAAGCAGTCTCTCCCATCTACATCTGATCTCCCCAGCCCTCATGAGCCTAAACTATTGATATAGGCTACTAATTGACAGCTTTATTCTCCTTTTCTTCCTCTCTAATTCATGCTACTCAAGTTGCAGAGGAAACCTCTTCCACCACAGCTCTGCTCTGGACAGTTTCCTTCCTAAAAAGTTCTAATATTTCAACTTTACATGCTGATCTAATCACCTTAACCTGCTCTATTCTTGGCCTTCCATGATGTGATTCACCCCATCATACCAAATTGACTTTCCTACACATATCCAGAATGACTTGCTGACTCCAGAATACATGCTATGCCCTCCCCTACTAGGTCTTTGCTTATGCTATTACCTAGAGCTTCAAGATACATCTGCAAGTAATACATGAATCAGTAACTAGACCCACTGGCCCTTAGGAAACCTCTCAGTCATGAAATGCTATCATTATGGGAATGCATACTCTGTCTTTTCATATTCTCCCTCTAAATGAGTTATTTCTCTACTTTGAATGTAAGTAATGCACCACTCACAGATCATGTATTTCATTGGTTTTCAACTACTGTATCACCCAACACTTTTTTGAAAGGTACAATACTTTCCCATGAGTCACAGTGATGTGAAGGAGACACCTGCTGGGAAGTTAACTTTTCTTCTTTCAGGATCACAGCCACACTTACACTTTACACCTTATATTACACACTTACACCTTATATTTATGTGACTCCACAAAAGTTGGTCCATTACATAGCTATGGCATAAATTTAAAATTAATAATTAAAAGCTCTAAGACTGTGATTGGGATCTGGGACTCTTAACAGAAGAAGTATACCCAAGAAGTGAAGCTATCATTTTGGAGTGACTGGGGAGGTTGTATATGCTAAATGATTAGTGAGCACGAATACAGAAATGTGCAAGAGGAGAGAGGCTTTCCCTAGTCCCCTCATCTAAAAGTTCAAGACTTCAACTCCAACCCCTCTTTCCACTAACATCTTTTCTATCTCATAATCCAGGTTTTCTTCTACTTCAATACTACTTATTTGTTGGTTTATTTCTGTCTCTGTCCATTGCTGCACAAGAACACCTTCCTGAAACTTAGCAGTAAAACAAAACAATTCTCTATTTCAATGATAAATCTGTAATTTTGGCAAGGATTACTTTCCTCCTGACACTGGCGTATCTGTTTGGTGCTGGAGAACAGAGAACTAGCTCAGAATCTTTTCCGTTAATCTCACTCCACAAAGTCTTGATCTTCCTCATAATATGGCTGTCTCACAGTTGTCAGTTTTCTTAATGGTAGCTCAAGTTCCCCACATAGCGTTGCTGATCCCCAGATAGAAATGGCAAAGCTTCTTAAGACCTCACCTCAGAGCTCTCTATATCACTGCTGCCACATTCTGTTGTTCTAAGGCCAGTTCAAGATTCAAAGGAGTGTGGGGTGGGATGGAAGGATGACCATCTCTCACAGGGAGATATATTAGATACATAAATGCTTTCAGTTGACTCTGTAAAAGTTGCATTTGACTATCTAAAAACAAAATGATGGGCCTCCCTGGTGGCACAAAGGGTTATGTCTCAGCATTATGAAGCTAATGGCAGCGACTGCAGCACAGGTTCCATCTCTGCCGAGCTGCCCACATATGGTGCAGAGGACTGTCCCACTGCCCGCCTCTACAGTGCATTTCAGTCAGTCTGCAAGTTCTGCTCCCCACTCCGTGTCTGGTGCATATTCTCACCACCACCACCCCTGCCCTGCACGGCTGGTGTACACTCCAACTCTTGTGTGCTTAAATAAATGAAGCTTACACAAAAAGAGTTGAATCGATTAAATATTTCTGATAGCATAAATCAACTATAAAACAATAGTATAATTATATGTTTCCATCTGTTTTATAATACTTGACCGGTATTACACACTTAATTCCATTATTGCATAAGGGACTGCAGAGTTTGTGCTTAGTCCTGTCTTCCTTACTTCAGGGTTAGAATCCTGACTTTCTTTTCCCGTAGGCTGTGCAATATTTAGGCATGCTGAAGCTGTTCTTCTGTTGTAACAATTCATGACACTGGTGCAATCGCAAAAACAAAATCATCCCTGCTAGATGGTTGGGGAGATCCTAGGATTTAAAGGTGTAAGGGAGCAGAGAGGGCATGAGGGGAGACTCCTAACGATCCTGTAGAGTAAGGATGACTTCGTTGAGGCTACAGAAAACGTTACACGATTTCCTGCTCAGGCAGCCCGACACCCAACATCAACCCGCAAAAACGCCTTTCCTGGGCTTTCAAACCCTTGGAGACTTGTCCAAACAAGCGAGCATAAATGGGCTGCAGCTTCCCGGCCGCTGCAAGGGCGGTGAGACCAAACCCGACTCAGGCGGGACACCCTCTCGGAGGGGTTCGCCAGCGCGGGGCGCGGGAGAGCGGGTGGCCCCGAGGGCCTCGGGAGAGGCTC